AATTTCTATTGATGGTCCCACTTGCTTCTGTGCTGTAACACATAACAGGTACCTCCTTGTTCTGAACTCCTTGTTCAGTACAGATATCCAGAGAAGACTGCGGTGTCATTATTCTGGGGTTGAAGGTAGTATTTCTTTAACAAATTGCCTATGTATGTAGCGCAACTGAATTTACTGACAGCAGTTACAGAACTGAAAGTATTAGATTTTACCATATACTTGTAGAGCATATAGATGGAATTAGATTGCATTTTAATCCAACTGCATGCACAAATAGTAAATTGTTAGTACTACAGTATGTGTTCAGTGATGAAACAAACATGCGATTGAAGAAGAAGTGTCCTTTTTTATTTGAGATCCGATATGCCTCTCTCAATGAGAAAGTTTATAGGTTTAAAAAAAACAAGGTGTTCCTGTGATTGATATTCCCAGACTACAGAGTTGGAAATTCCTCTAAATGTGGACTGCAGCAGGTATTTAATATGTTTCTTCCATCTACATTAAGCATCTGTTTCTGATTTAATTCAAGCCTCAAGTCTCCTGGAAAAAAATGGAGATGGAAGAATCAGCTGGGAAAAGAACAAAATTCTTAGGCTAGAATGTTTTACATGGCCCACAGACAAATTATCATTTGAATTACCGGATCTTAATGTCTTTAAGACATTATGATTAACATCTAACATTATAAAATTTAGCTTCCTTGTTTTTGAAGTTTTGTAGTAATCTACATAAATACCAGGGCTCCAAAAAGTTAAAAATGGTTCCAAACTTTACATCTACATAATTGGATATGGCTTATTTCTGTGGCTTGTTTTTTTTTTTATAGACTCAAACTGAATGTCTGTTTGGTTTTGAGTAAGCAACGGGAAGGATATTTGTTTAATTATGTCTAGAATTAACAGTTCAGTAGTTTGAGACTAAAGATATTGTTCTTGTCCAGTGTGCTGGCCAACAACTTCATCACATTTAAATTGAATTCCAACCACCCTATCTGATCCTTTAACTGTTGTAGGTATTTGATGTATCCATCTTTACAGATAAGGCTGTTATTGTGAAGTCCTGTCCACATGTGTGGTCTTTTGACCTAACTGTTACCTTTTAATGTGAGGGGAATATATAGAGTAGTGTTTAAAGTTTGTGACAGCTATTTGTTAAAATCAGTTAGTGGTACCTCATTTGTTTAGTATACACACATGGTGTGCATGAAATAGCCAATCGAATGCAAGACAAGCTTAAGCTACATATTCAGCTAAATACCATCTTTACTTGAAAGATGCTGTGACAATATAACATAGACACTGAAAATATACTGTTAGATTTCAATGCTAAAACTCCCATAAGTATTTCAAGATTCCCTCAAAAAAGCCAAGATAGCCATTAATGTTTACTCTGAATCCATTTATTCAAAGGACACAGCACGATGAAATTCATCTGTTCACTATCTCGATTAATCAGTATTTTCAGATTAGTTTTCATCCTTGAGTCAAAACCCCACTCCTTATGAATACAGATCTTCATTAGAAAGTATAATCTATCATTTTCAATGACTTCCTGCAATCACAGTAAAACACTGGATCACATAAGGTAAGGTAAAAAAGTCCCCCATCTCAAGTAAGAAATCAAAGAAAATAAAATTAATAATAATGGAGAAGTTAACTAATCCCAGATGGGACCAGCTCTGTGTTTATGGTTGACTCTATCCTGAAGCTCAGGGTTCTCAACCTAAAGTGAATTTAATCACTGAGCTAGAATTACAGAAGGCTACAGAGAAGGACATTTTGTTCTGGTAGAGATTGAAATCTATGGCATTCAGTTCACTTACAGTAGTTGTATGATTAGTCTACAGACAAGGAAAATGATGCACATTTTGGAGACATATTTACAGTCAAATGCACTTACTGTTTATAAAATCTGTAACAGATCATTTCTACTTTTTGAAAAAGAACCCATTATATGCTGCTAATAAAAGTTAATAGTGTGTGCCTATTAGGTAATAGTATGGAGTAGTGAATATATGGGTTCTAAATTTGTAACTTTTCAAAGTGAAAATGTATTTCACTCATATTGCTGTAATTAAATACCAACCTGGCTGTATAAATTGCTACAGATGTGTGTCCCTTTGAATAAAAGAGTCAAAAACATAAACTGATGATTTCATATGCCTTTAGGTGTTACACATCAAATTCTATCCTCAAGAATCCTCTCAACAGTGTGACATCAGTGTGACAGTGTGTGCCAACTGAATTATCCTTTAATTTGCAGTACTGCTTGATTTAACATAATTAATAAATTGATAAGACATACAGTTTTAGATGTGCAATAAACAGAGTATGGTCGATTGCCCTTATACAATTGGTTAAAGAAATACGCATCTGAGCAAAAGATTTTCCTCGCTTGGAACTTTATAGATTTAATTCCTTTAACTGTTTTTAAGGATTAAGTTTATTAGCATTTTTTTTTACTACTGGCAGTATATTTGAGACATTATACCATGAATTCAAGTGACACTGGGTCTCTTATGTACTGTACCTACAATCACTAAATCTTGGCCAAATGAGTTCAGTGTTACTGATTCACACAAGCATATTTATCATTTAATCTGTATATCCATATGCTTACTGTACAACTTGTATAAAGAAACACTTAGAAATTTCTTGATTCATTACTTTCCCCAGACTTCATTTCAGTGTTTTAATTTTTCTCAATAAGACTGAAATATTATTTTAATCATATAATACATCTGATATTGTATGCATTCGTATATGAGACACCACTGAAGGAATGTATTTTCAGGCTTCATAGAGATGGTACTGTTTCTTTTAGTAGTTTCTGTTTCCAAGGGCTAAAAGCTTTCAGCATTTTCTCATTTGTCTTGTCTGACAAAAAGAGAGCTTTATATATCCATTGCTAACATAAACTTTATTCCTTGTGCTTTACCAAACGTTCCCCATCAATGAGTGGAGCATCAATTAAAATTCAATTAGTCATGGGTACTACTTTGAGACCAATCACATGAAAAGCCCAGTGACCTTATTTTTTTACGCCCTGAGCAGTTCATTTTCTAGAAACACAAAAGCTGAAGATGAATGTGAGGTGCCTGGGTGTCTCCATGGAAACTTGCCTGAGTCTGTGTTTGTGTGTCACTGACATCTTCCCAGACAGCTGTGGGGATTCATTTGCCTTCTGAACCTTTGAGAAAAGTACAGCTCAGTTTCAGACCTCAGCTGAATTTGATTGATCTGTTTTACAATGGGCCCCAGATTAAATACTCAATTTCTGAATTCATTATTTAGGATAGTTTACTTATTGCATTTTACAGAGTATACAATTCTACAGCCCCTTACTTTCTTAAATTGAGAAAATAGTCACTTTTCATGTATCTAATAACCCCCAAGGGTTATAATCTATACATATTCATACACAGTATTAATATTTTTAATTTTCTTCCCTCTCTGTTTTAAATTAAATCTATTAACTTGCACAATTTATATTTTGTATATTTTATCCTGAGTGATAAACACAGTTAAAAATATTCTTTTTCAAAGCATGTTGGAAATATATACTCTCCAAACCACACTTTCATGTCTTGATCATTATGTTAAATACATCACTTTCCAGTTTTTTTTTTAATACCACAACATATCCTCTGTCCTAGATGTTTAAACAGTGGTTGTATAGCTGGAGTATAGTTATTTGTAGGACTCATCCCCTGGAAAACTGTTGTGTTTTTTCCTGACAAGGTAATATCATCTGGAAACAGTTTAACAGTTTCTTTCAATGCCCTTAACACCAAAATCTTAAGAAAGAAAAACTAAGCACAACAACTCTTTCTTTCTAAGGAGGAAATCAAAAGGAAATGTGTTTCCTGGGCCTGGGTGGGTAGTTTGGTGGAACTTGCCCAGGAAACAAGAAGTTGTGACTGTTTAGACTAGAGTAATGTATCTTGCAGTCTCCCGAATCCACTCCATTGCTGTACGCTGATGTAACATGCCTCCTTTATTACTGTAGCGATCCTTCTAATTATCACTTAAATAATCAAGGAGCTGATTGTAGCACAATTACGTAACAGAGCTGATTGGAGTGTGCTGATTAACTCTCTCACCTAAAAAAAAATTTGTAATAAATTTAATCCTTTAAGTGATCGTTCAGTTCTAGACTTCAATGCCAACATGGAATATTTTCTGTTGGGTGTATTATTTTGGCCCAAACTGTACATTTAACAAATTAAGTGGAAAATTTGTACTATGAATGGATTTACCAACTGTTAATGGGTTTTGCTTTCCATTGTCTTCACATGATTACTGTTATACTGTTATACTTGGCGCAACAAATTCTAAAAGATCTCAGAAAACTGAGATCTTTTAGAAAACAAGCGCCACACCAGCAGTAGTAACGCCAGTAAGTCACTAAGTTTTTTCTTTCTGTGAAGCCTGTATTGAATTATCTATGCTTAATTCTCTTCAGAAAGGAAATGTAAAAAAATTCAGGAAAGAACTGCTACCAATTATGGTACTATAAAGAGAGATATACACGCATACTACAACAGCTTCATTACTGCGATATGCTCACATGTTTCTCAGGTTGTGTGTGCGGCTTTTGAATGGAATGTACTTTATGTTACAATTATTTTAATATCTCCTTTAGAAATCATGAACTAAATGAGCTTATGGGTTCTTTGTGACACATTTGTTGTACATTAATTATTCCAGTATTCAAGTAATACTGAATAAAACTTAGGAATAATTCACACAGACTTTTGCCATAGCGTTTTTTTGTTTGCAGAAGAATGCAAGCTGATGTTAAAAAATGAAAAATTAAATTTTAGCTATATTTCATTTGAATATTTCTGTTTCTTTAAATGAAAAGGAACAAAAAAAATATTTCCAACTTTTTTTCCAACAGTTTTTTATTTGACTTTGTGAAGGTGGACAGGAAAGTGTGAAAAAAAATTTTAGAGTTCAAACTTCTGACCACATCCTCCGTAATGTTTTCCTTTTCAGGTCAGAGGTATCAAAGCTTCAGATACTGCCTAGCAGCCCCCAGGAGCAGAGGCACAGTGCTGCCGCCCTGCAGGCCAGTAGGTGCTACATCAACACACAGTCAGACCGCAGGTCTCCTACTGGCCACGCAGAACCACCACCTGATAACAGTAAGTCAGGAGCTCACTCTGCTAATACACATATTCCAGCGACAACAGGTACAACAGATGCCTGACTAGTTAGCTTACAGATATGCGGCCTATCTTTCTTACACCTGGAACATGGAGAGGTGAAATTTTAATCTCTCATTTCAAAAGTGAAAGAAAAGCATGTAAAAAAAAAGGACATACCAGCTAAGAGGTTGTGAAGCATTCAGGCAGGTTGTGTTGGTAAAATCATTCTTAGTGTTTCTGATGGCGCTTGAGTGTTGGAGGACATCGTTCCCACCCGCAGTCTCTGAAAGTTAACCAGTGGCAATGCGATAATACTTGCGGTGTGTGTTGTGCCCAGCGGAGGAACAGCTGTTTCGGTCAGTCGAGGGCCAGGCGGCCTCGGATGAGGAGGAAGAGAAGTGGACGGGGGAGCAGCAGAGCCAGGTGGATGAGGTGAAGAGGATTCTCACCAGACTATCCTGCTGTGGGGACAGGTACAGCAGATCTGTCAACCTGTAACACAATACTCCACTCCAGTGGCACAAACACAAAGCAAGGACATTTTCAGGCACTTGGCGTCTGATTTTCTATGACGTGAAAGGGATCGTTCAGAGAATTTTCCACATTCCTTTTGTATTTATTATGTTAACAGTCCAAGTGCACCTTGGATTCATTTACTTTTATACTATGAAGTGGTAAGCAATCAAATACAGAGATAGTAACAACATGTTTATAAACCACTGAGAACAGATTATAAAAAATAACCCTTGTAAAAAAAAATGAACTGATAAGCTTTCTTAATGTTTTACTGAATATTCCCCTGACCCACAGGTGTGATGACAAAACTGTGAAAAAACTGCTGTCCCATTTCGGTGGTTCGAAGAATGAGGAAAGCAGGAGTGCGGTAGTGGAGCTTTTGGAAAAAGTCACCAAACTGACAAAACAGTTGGAGTTGAAGGAGAGTCAGGCCAAGAAAATGGAGATGGATATGGAGCAGGTATAGTACAGTTAGAAACATAATACATAGATATCTGAGTATGGAGAGAATGTCCAACCTATTACTCTTGAGAATTAGGAGTGACCTGTTGGTTTAAGAACCGCAAGAAGCAATATCTTCAAAAATAATAGATCACTGTCCATATTCTGGGCCAAGCTCTTGAATTCATTTTCAATTTAATATTAAAGAACTTATTTGAAGATAATTTAAAGTATCCTGCACAAAATCCATCATATTTTGCTTCCGTCTTCTTAAAATTAAAACTTGAACAATTACTATTGAACCTTTAGAAGTTGTACACTTTAGGATGTTGTGTTACATAATCTTGTATAGTTGCAGTCTACAAGTGGACGTTTAAAAACTCTGAAAGGTGTTGTGATAGTCATCCCAGAGGATTACATCCGGATCAAGAGTAAAGCACGGTTCTGAGGACAAAGAAATCGACAGGGTGCACATTGAACTGAAAACAGGAGGTCGTTTTTCACAGAGGGAGTTGTGGGAGGGTCTAAAAGAACTGGCTACTAGCCATTAAATAAGGAATATGTGATGAATACCATTACACCTTTGTAACAGCTCACCAACTCTGTATGGATAACTGAAACTGGACAGTAATAATTACACATTTATTTGTAGTTTGCATGTATGACCAATTCTTGGGACTAAGCCTTTTCTAAATTAGCTCAAATCCTTTGTGAACTTTTTTGGAGCTGTAATCAAAGGTCTTCAAAGTAAAACCTCTCTTCATTGTGCACTCCTCCTCAACAATTACTTCAATTTGCTGTTGGTATAGGCCTGCAGAAAATTCCACAGACCTACCCTTTTTATGCTGCTAGTTCAAAATGTGATGAACGCAGGAAATCTCACTCATATAAACAGTATCCCTTACATTGCAAAAAACGACACCGTGTCAATAAGCCATTGGCTAGTGTATTACTTTGACAAAACATGTCTCTATAATAATAATAACTACAACACCTGTGTAATTATGACTGTCCACTTTCATTACCGAAGCATGGGACGACCCTGTTTTCTACATGTGATGATGGCGTTACAAAATATTTCAACCTGTAAGAACACCTCACAATCCAATGTCACTGAAGGTTCATGTTGTGAAATTTCTGTTTGTTAGCTTTAGAGCTGGAAAAAAGCTTTGGTTCTAAAAAAGTTACCCCCTCTCATGCTGAATGAAGAACAGTTCATTTGGGCCTACTTCCTTAGCCTGCGTGTCCCTCTCATTCCGCCATTGTGCTGTCTCCATGTATCGGGCACAGATGAAGGAGTCCCTGGTGATGGAGTTGCAGCAGAAAGCTGAGGAGACGGAGCTGCTTCAGATGGAACTGCAGATGCTCGAGACGGAGAGAGTCCGCCTGTCGCTGGTCGAGGAGAAGCTCATGGATGTGCTGCAGCTCCTGCAGCAGCTCCGTGACCTGGTTAGATCTTAATCGCGACCTGTCTGACAGACAGACAGTCTTGCTTGTGTATGAAACCATGCTGGTGTACAAAGGAGACATTTATGTGTTATATATTGCCTAGACCCGTTTTTAAATGTGTGAATGATGAGCACTTTCTTCTTTCAGAATGTGTCGAGGAGATCTTTGGGGAAGATCTTGCTGAGCACCTTGGAATCATGCAGTGACCCCCAACATGGTAAGAAATTCTCTCGCCTTTATGTAACCCTTTTGATTGAGTTCAAAGCAGTAAGTGCACGTAATTGAAAAATGTGTTATTGCACAGCAAAAGGAGGATGGTCGGTGTTTGAAGACTAATACAGACCTCTTCATCTCTTTGGGTTCAACATACTTATTGTCTTAATTGATCTTGAGACACTGATGATCTTTCTTTTGCTATGCACTAGTAAATTAATAAAGTCTGGGAAAGAATTCAGAATATGTGGCTAGTTTTTTTAATTTTCACCTCTAAAAATCAGGCAGTTATGTGCAGTCACTTTCTTTACATGCTCTTTACATTGATGGCATCAAGTTTTTTCAAGTCATATATTCATGAATAAAGTACAGACCAAACATTAAGGGGATGGCAGTCTAGTCTATGTGTTGAGATCTAGCTATATTTGTGACAAAAATCATTGCTAGGGGCTGTAAATAAATTAGAATGCATCACATTCCAAAAGAGGTAAGTGCATGCATGTCTGTGTTTGTGGCTGTTTGTGTCTTAGCGTACTACAACACTAGTAATTATCAATTTCCAAATGAATGGCTAAAAAGATATTACCCTGAAATCAAGTGTTCTGTCTTTTGGTTTTAACGCAGGCAAAGCCCACATTTTGGAGGTTCTTAATGCTCTGTATCATGAATTAGCAGCCTGTGAGCTGCTGTCCAGCACACCTCTAGAGGGAACATCAAGTCACACTTCTCTAGCAAACCCTCTCCTCATCTCATGCTGACTTGGAGCGCCATCTGGTGGTAGGCTGCTCCCCCTCCCTGCAGCACTTTCCAAATTCGGTGAATGCCTTCAACCAACAGAACATCTTTGCAAAAAGCTATAAAAAAAAAATGCTGAGGCCTGAACTGTAACTTGAAATGGCTAAAGAAGCAATAAGCACCTTCTAACGTTTTCAGGAATTTAAATACAGCGTAAGCTATGGTGGATCGGGACTGTTATGTTGCTTCGCAGTAAATTATGAGATACTGTACATGTCTTGCCTCATTTTTCTTGCTTTTCACATGAACATTTGTAATGATATTGACGGAAAAAATGTTGTTGTAATCCAGCTGGTGTCAAAGTGTTTTACATTCCACCTACTGACACCTAGGGGCATTTTTTAGATTGTTTATATAGTACTTCAATTATCATGCAATATTATGTAATCCATTATTTCTTTTCTGTGGTAAGAATTACAGATTGGATATGTTTAGAAATCCCTTCTTTCAATGAAGCTATAACGCCCATGCTGTGAACTTACAGTTACATATTTGTAACTACTATCATATCTCCACTCTACAGTACGTATTTCAGTTTTTAGAGCCAGAGGAACAAGTTCAAGTGATGTTTTTAATCACATTCTGTAAATACGTTTGTATGCACCTTACCTAACTCAAGACATTTAATTCCCTGTCAACACCTGGTGCTTCAGATGTCTCTGCAAAAAAATTAAAAATAGAATAGTTTTTGTAATAAAGTAATATTAAATGTTTTTGGTTAGAATATGCAGTATAAACACATGTAAAATCCCAATAAGCTGCCACAACATACACAAAATGCAATAGGTTGTTACTAAATATACCCCTTAATACTTTAGATAATAGATAAAAATAGATATTTCTTTCTTAAAGGTTATCTTTAGAGCTGAAGGCTGATATTAAAGACATGCTAGTACTTGTACTTAATAGAACTTCTTCTTGCAATGACTAAAGTGTTGATTGAACCAAAAAGTACCCCAATACTATACAAACCATCCCTAAAGTTCAACTTGAGACTGAGAGATCACAACTTTAAATAAAGTATTTTATGGTGCTATGTAAACAAATTTATTTTTTAGTTTTTACATATTTTCTGTATTATAATAATTCATTTTTCCAAAGGCAGTTACTTAAAAAACAATAACTATTTAAAAATACAAATCCTTGTATAAATGAGATATTCATTATAGAGATTTTAAAGTCCAGATGTTTTTCAATCACACATTATCAACTGAAGGTACTCTACCATTACGCAGACCTTTCTAGTAAATGAAAGTTTGTTATGAGTCTAAATACTCTCTTAAATAAGATTTTGAAGAGCTCTCATAAGTCAAAAAGTCTGCACTCACTTTTAAGAGGGCTTAACTTTTAGACTAAAAAAAAATTATATACAAGTTCATGAAATTGTACATTTAAATATTAGAATTTAAATAACAAAATGGTGTTCCATTTCCAATCATTTCCAACAACAATATCAAGTTACACGTGACTTTGTAAAACTGTGCAATAGTCCCTCTTTGGCCAGTTTTGGTTTTGTTTCTGTCATGTCTATGCATTTCCAGTTATTTTTTCCTTTCCTCACACTAATCAAAGTTTGAGTTGGTATCCCATTGTAACATCAGTAAAAAATACATATTGTGCATTATACCTTAAAGAAACTTCAAAGAAAGAACTTTGGAACAACTTCATGAGTGCAGCAAATTACCTCTGTTTAGAATATCATTTGCATCAATAATCTACTACAAAAATTGTGTGTCACAATTTCTGTTTTGTTTATGCTCATGTGTACTTGTTACCCAACTAAAGAATGACTAAACCACTGTATAGGTTATGACATATGCAATTCTAAGTGCACAAAAAATAAAAGAATTGAAGCTTTTGAATCAGTGTGGAGCCTCGTTTCTTTAATCAAAGCAATAATTATTTTGACTGGTCTCGGTGTACGATGTTGATCGGAAAGTTTAACGCTGGACTGTTCAGTCCTGGTGTGTAAATAAGAAAAAAGAACTATTACATTTTCCTTTTGTGCTGCTTTATACTACTTGAAAACAGTATAACTTGCAGAACAATGGACCTTTTTAGCCCAATATTTTTCCCTGTTGTGCATTTTAAAAAGAAGCTGAGAAATTGAGCATGATGAGCATGCATACAAAAACCACTAACAGCACTTTTCCAAACCCTGCTGTATATTTATTTGGGGAATTACCCTAAAGTGCAACCTGAATTGCGGTATTTGCTGTCATATCATACACAAGCTGCCCCAGAGCCAACTAAAAAGGTATAGCTTTTGCAAAAATTAATTTGCAATGTAAGCCTGCTTCTCCAACTGCTCCCACTCAGCTGTGTGCTTCACAAAGAGAGCAGGTGGAGAACTGCTTCTGGGCATCTGCTAAAAAAAACAACAGGACACAAATGATAAGGACAGAAAATGGAAACTCATTATTAATAAGCATCTGGAGAGAGATGAGGATCATGCTCAGCATTTAATCAGCACTTCCTCCCATTTTGCAATAACCATGCAGGTTTTATGCTCCGACATCATTTCACCTTGCTGCTATTTTGTATAGTCAAGAATCAGTTAAATTTGATCATCAAAACTGATGAGACAATTTAGTCAGGAAAACAGCTATTAAAAGACCAGGCTAGTCCTGAGTGCGCTTTGCTATTTGTGCTGTTGTAGTGGTAGTAGAAAGGAACGCCCTTCAGACACAAGGAAGTCTGTTCAAAGAAGTTTGCCGATATCTTTTTGCCTTTGTTAGACTGCACAAAGAAAACCACACATGCCTCTGATGAATTAAATCATAATTTCTTTATTACAAAGTTAATAATAATAATAATTGCTTACACTTATATAGCGCTTTTCTGGACACTCCACTCAAAGCGCTTTACAGGTAATGGGGACTCCCCTCCACCACCACCAATGTGCAGCATCCACCTGAAGTTAACAGGTTAACCTCATGTCTCAAGCACCATTTCAAACAGAACAGTAAATATTCCACCTACAAAATGTCTTGATTGGTCAGTACATTTGTTGCCTTATAAGGTGCTAACAAGGTCAGAGAGTCAGGCAGTTAGCCCTGGCCAGCCTTGGGCAATTAACCGAGACCTCTGTTCCCCTCAGGTTGCTAAATCTGGGCGCAGGATACATGAATTACATCTCCATTCAAGAGACCTTGGCCAGCCAGGAATCCACAAAACAATGAAACAATTCTTCTGATTCAATTGTTAAATCATAAGGCAAAGGTCCTTCCCTTGGAATCCACTGAACTAGCATAGCAGCGCCCAGGTGACAGGTTCAGTATCTGGTATCTCTACATTATCTCATTCTCTCACTCTCCATTGGGAGTGTGTGCATGCCCTGCAATGTGCTGGATTCCTTTCGGGGGTGTTGTCCAACCTTGTGCCCTATGCTGGTGGGATAGTATGCACATTTCTGTAACTCCTATCAGGATTTAATGGCATTCGGGTAATGAATAAATACAGTTTAGATTGTGGAAAGGGTTAACCATTTAAACAGGACTAAGAAGCAATAATTGTGAAAATATATCAATACAATATATAAACATGTAAATACCTTTTAGTATTTGACTTGGAATTCCACTGTAATGATGTGGTTCCAGGTGATTTTGCGAGTTAAATGTAGTGACTGCTTAATACAATTGTGTTTTACTTAAGATTAGAATTTGTTGAAGTTGTCTGGAAAAATATTCAAAAGGCTCTTAAAATGTTTGTCTCCTTATACCCAGCCAAAATGATAGCCTCTGCAGCACTACATTTCCAGAAGCATTATAAAAAATGCTAATTTCCTTCCTGAGCAATGAAAGATAGACACGGTATTTATTTCCTGTATTAGCTGCAGAAAGCCTCCTCTAACACCGAACACAATTCACCAACAAGGTGGGTGTCTTATTAATTACCTTATTATTGCTTGTTTTAGTTAAAATAATGTCTAGTACATAACCAACAGGATTAAATAACTTATTTGGATATACACACTGGTATATCTTAGAAATAAGCAAGAAGGTCCATAGTGATCGAAAGTGTTTGTTATTTAAGTGTAAACCCTAATTTCAGTTTCTGTTCTGTCCTTATTTCACGATAATTGTTTGCGTGTGCTGTGCTTTTTTCCATCTTTAAAAAAGTGAGTTCAACCATGAAAAAGTCAGACAATAAAACAATTGTGGTGTTCAAATCTCTCTAAAATAAATCAATGGACACGGATTCCTCACTCACACCTTGTCCATGGAGACTGTATTCTCCTTTAAACACTAGGCCATATTTAAGGAACTTGTTCATATTGCGAATGCGCTACAAACCATAAAACCAGCTTATCAAAACCAAACTGCTTTACACAATTTTTTACTTCAGCACTTGTTTTTCCCAATGTTCTGTGGTGCATGTTGTATATGTATTCTAAAATTTTATTTTTATATATACTTCTTCAGTGTTTTCAAAAAGAAGAGGCGCTGCCTAAACTCTACTAGACCCAGACAGAACAAGGCATTAGAACTCAAATGTAATTTAAAACAAACCCAGCTGACAATAACCTGATGTCTATGCTTCTCATCACAGATACCCAACATGGAGAGTCCGCTTCCATTTCTCTTCCTCATGCTTTTCCACGGAGCCAGGACATGCCCAACACCCTGCACCTGCGCACCCCTGGGAACTGGAGAGCTGCATGTGGGCTGCAGCCGCCTGGGACTTCACACTCTACCCACGCTGCCAGACGCCACCGTTAGTCTCAACCTTCAATACAATCAACTCACAACCGTGGCACCAGGAAGCTTTGATAAGCTTCGCAACCTTAGGACGCTACAGCTAGCCCACAATCCTTGGGTGTGCGACTGCGACATTGTGTATCTCAAGCACTGGCTCGAGGACAACAAGGTCAACGTGATGGTGGAAGAAGTCAAGTGCGCAAAACCTGCACACACCAAGGGCAGAGCCATCACCCAGCTGCACGGCAACGAGTTCCCAGGCTGCAACCCATCCAAAAAGCTGGACTGCTCTGGTTACTTTAAAAGATCCATGATCCTGGCAGGCATTGCCTTGCTATCACTCCTGTTAATGGCCTGGCTGACGTGGTGCTCTAAAAGGCTGCTGCTCCTTATTGCAAAGAAACCATTGTAAAAAAGGTTTGATCAAGAAGCACATCTTCAGTGACGGAGTGATTTTGTTTGCACACAAGTTAAATGCGTATGTAGTGAAAGGTGTCAACTGGAAATTTAAACTCGTGAAAAACCCATGGCCAGGGTTTATCTGGGCTTGTAGCAGCAGAGCAGCAAACGTCTGCTTGGCATCTTTAAAGCAATTCTCAACTGTAAACCAATCCTTTCTGCTTTCTGTGATCTTCCTACTTTTAAACCTTTCAAAATGTGTATTACACAAAATAATAATGCCATTTTTTTGTGCATGTAAAAAGTCAGCATTTCTTATAATAAAATCTCCAGAGAAAGTTTGTTTCTTCAGTACTTATTATTTATATATACAAAGGATGGATACAATTTGCTTTCAAAGCAACTTCACTCTGCTGAAAATATATTCTGCATAACGGGGCTAATAGCAACAGCTTGGTCCATTCTCCACATTTAACCCAAAAGTGCCATCCCTGCCAAGGAGGAGGAGAAGATATACTTATCTTTCTGTAGCACAAGGCTTTCCTAGTGTCACATGTTCCAGTGTGGCATATTGAAAGCCAGCTGTGGTTCCTTGCACTCTTTCAAAAGTATGATCAACAGTTTTGGACGGTGAAGAATATCACCATTTTGAGGGTACGGACACACATGACAGGAAGTTCTTGTTTAAAACGTAGGGCTGATGTTACCAGTGATGATTACACTGCAGACTCGTACGGAGAACAGAAACTGGGGAGTCCAGGGAAACACTCGATCTAAAAAACACTGCCCGTAAGGATGCATAGAAATGTTGGAATCCAAGTCATAGCTGACATCACACAGAAAGGTAAGCTTTTTTTAACACTTTGATTTTAAAATGTTCATATAGGAACAGTTTCCAATGTTGGTGAAGTTACTTAAAAGCAATGCCAAGTCCACAGAGCTTTCATTAAGTCTGTGAATTTCAACCTGGAGACTATTTTGATAAACATAGCAATTTTGTTTTTGTCATTAACACATCTCAGTATAGTTATTAGTCAAGTAAAAGGAGAAAACTAATCTTACACCTAAGCTATCCATTCTCATCTTATTTATAAATGATACTTTCTTGGTCTACTAGCACTGTGCAGAGTTATTTCTCTAAAGAAAGTCATATTTACATCTACACATATAAAAAGCATTTTGATTTCAAAATGTGCACCTTTGTTGTACTCTGAGCCTCAAGTCTATTCTATTTTTGACACATGTATTTGTTGTTGTAGCCATTTCTAAGATGCAGATCCCACCATTGTGACCCATCATCATTTATCCAGTGCATTAGATCAGTGGTGGGTCATACATTATAAACATGGATCCATTCTGATGGATCTAATGGAGCTTCATAACACCACTGAGCTCTTTGACCAATTTGTCACTCTATTCTTCTAATATAATGGAATCCAACATAATAAAATAGAAACAACGTGGTACGACATAAAACAAGACATTGCATGTCTTTGTTTCAAAATACAGGACTGCTATCATTTCCTAAATGTTAACAATTAATATGATCTCAAACAAGAAAGTGAAGAAATATGATCAAAATAAAAATACTGATCTTTGTTTATGTTAGTCTCTCTTCCGGTTTGCCAAAAGCTCCACAAAAAACTTAATTACTGTGTTGGCTACAACTACATTTATAACTATATACTGCTGAGAGAACTAATGCGAGATAAATAAGTCGTCTAAAAAAAATACATTATTTCTACATAGATGAGCATTACTTTGCTCTGTTTCAGTTGTGAGCGACTATTAAAATCTGACCTTTTTGCAGGATGAGGGTTTGTCTGCGGGTCACATTGCTCCTCTTCCTCAGCTCATCCAAAGCACAGGTGTGTCCAGCCTCCTGCAGGTGCGCCGTTTCGGAATCGTCGGGATTCAAGGTGAATTGCAGCTCACAAGGCCTTACAAAAGTGCCCCTTCTGCCAGCCAGCACCACAGAACTGTACCTTCAGAAGAACCTGATCACAACAGTTCCACCCGGGCAATTGGACAAGCTTACCAGCTTACAGAAAATCAACTTCTCCGGCAACCCCTGGCACTGCAGCTGTGACATTCGGTATCTCAAAGCCTGGCTGGACGACCACGCAGCCTCGCCCTCTTCCGTGGAAGTCTTGTGTTTCACACCACCTGCCCTCGCGCACAGACCCTTACTGCAGCTCGCTGAAAAGGACTTTTCCGAGTGCGCCAGAAGACGATGTGCTGGTTTCGTTTTTAATGACGTGTTCCTAATAATTCTGCTTAGCACTCTCCTCATTCTTCTCCTTCTAACCCTCAAGACTGCAAGGTCATCGGCTTTCATTTTTAACGTCGATCAGAGGCACACAGGCATGGAAATGGAAACTCTGAAATCTCAAAAACCCAGGCACAGAAAAAGACCAGAAGCATCGTACAAGACGTTGTTATCAAAAGACCCAGAATCCCCGCTTGAGGAAAGTAATTTGACAGAGGACAGTGAGAAACTAATGCCTTTGCTAAACATGGAGATTCTGCCTCAGGTATTAGAGGTCTTGGAAAACAAGCACAATATAAAAATTAAAGCAACTTAATTTATTTCAAAACCCACATCCTAATACATCAGATAATCTTGGTTATTCTGCAACTAATGTTATAATCTAACAAAGCTGTAGAAGAACTAAAAAACATGTTTCAAATGGATTGTTGACTTAAATCCATTATGAAAACCTAGTGGCTACTTATGGTTTTATTTTATACAATATCAACATACAACATGACGTAAAGTGAACTGAAAACACATTATTGCAGGAAACAGTTGATCGCATACCTTATTTGGATTTAATGTTCTTTTTATGTTGAGACAGTGAAAAATTGAATTTTATTACTGCAGTTTACTTAAGTATCTGTTAAATTGTGCAATATAAGAAGCTTGTCAAACTTATCTGGATCTATTTAATGCAATTGTTCTGTAGTTCAACTGACAATCATTTTATTCACAAGTATTTCCAACAGGCTCACACTAATCATTATGACAGACTTAGAAAACACAAAGACACACACACACGATAATTACCTATTCAAGTTTTGTTCCACATATGGCAAAATATATACACCGCTGATGACCACAACTAAAAAAGATCCCAAGAATCGATACAACTTTATACCTTTACTGAACAGTGCGGATACAGCATATAGGTTAAAAATCTTCCTTCATTTTCTCCATTTCTCCCCTTTTCTCTTCAATGTAGTCCATGATGTTGGTCTGTAAGTCATCCAGTGCTGTCACCAGATGGTCATACATGGTCTACAAACAGGAGCAGGAGATGAACACTAGAATAGGATCTATGAGAGTCCGAGTTATTGACTCTGCAGAAACATCCTGGCTCTAGAATGCAAGGTGTAAATTGTGCTCAGGCTCATATCCCACCATCTTTCATCCTCAATAGATGCTCTGTTAAGACTTGTTTCATAACAGCTAACTGAAATAACTGAAAATGTTCCAATTTAGGCAACAGCATTAATTTATACACAAACACCAAAACTATTTTTCAAATACAAGAGAGCAGGGCGAACAATAATGTACCTGTGCTTTATCCGTCTCGCTCTTGCAATTTGCTTTCAAATCGTCCATTTTAGCTTTTAATTGCTGGGTCTGACTGTTAATTTCTTGAATCTCATTGAGCATATCCTCCCTCTTCTGATGGACCTGGTTGTATTCACTGAAAAAAAATGACACAAATAGTTAACTTATGTTAAGGTGCAAGATGTTAAATACGTGTTCAACATAAACAGAAAAAAACACTACGAGGTATGGAAAACTTAATTGCCCTTGAATCTAAACCAAACACGCTTTGACTTCCAATTACTGTGTCAGACCAGTTAAAGAGTTAACCCAATTTTCCCAACAAGATGTTCTTTCAAATGTTTAAAAAAATACATTTCGGATGTGTTATTTGTATACAGATGAGCAACGTTTAATATGTCATACAAATGAACTGATCTAGATCAAGCGTTTACAATAACAACTTTAGGTGAAGGAGATTATCCAATACAAGTCAAAATGAGCATATGTGTCAGTAAAACCTTCCGTACCCAAATATGGTCTGAACATGTTGATCCTTCATCTCCTGCTTCTTCTGCCTCTTGATCCGTTGCTTGTGTATCTTTTCCTGCTTCATGTGAAGCGCTCTCTTCATTCGGCTTTCCTCGTTGAACAGGTTCTTCAGTTCCTTTTTTGCCTTTTCGTTCGAGATATCCAAAATATGAATCTGTGAAATATAAACGCCCAAGCTTTACGACTGTAAACAAGTTATTGAAGAGGTGCCTTAGATTCACATTTTCTGCTGATTTTCTGCATAATGTGCACCAAATGCTCAAGAAAGGTACTGCTGCCAATGCACAAGATTTCTCACACCCAGAAACAAGTGTACCACCTACCGTACCTCTTCCTGTTGTTTATACATTTCGTCCATTGCACTCTGCAAATCCTGCAGCAGTTTGTGAACGCTCTGAATTTCGGCTTTGTACTGGTTATACGTCTGGTTTTTGATTTGGAGCTCCACAAATCGCACATCTGTTTTTTCCTGTAGAGAGAATTCTCGCTAATTCAGAAAGTTCATTCCTAAGCTGTTAAAATAACAAATAGAAATTCTGTACCAAACACGAAGACACTCTTCGACACCTTGCGCCAGTGAATTACCATTAAATATAATGTTAATTTACGGATGCAATAATGTATATAAAATACAATACATACTTTAGATTTCCTAACGTTTTTCACGGTCTCCTTCATCTTCTCTTTTTCTTTTTTTATCTCCTCGGGAGGCTCCACAATCTGGGATCTCAGTTTAGCGATGTCTTCTTTCAATGTTGCCACCTGTACTTTCATTTGGTTCTGCATAGGAAAATAGAACAACACAGGAAGGTAACAGACGAGGAGGCCAGTCAACCCCTCATACATATTCGGGTGTTCACATCACCCTTATCTTAATCTCCGGATATCATCCAGCCATTTCCGGACAATTCTCATGGCACTGGCATCAACAACACAGCTTTGCAGGTTTAACAAGAGTTAGTTTCTCATGTGTTTGTAGCATTTAAGATTGTCCAACTTTATCTCAAAGAATGTCGCTCCTCATTACATCTGTGCTGTTGCAATGTAATGTTCAAACCTTTCACCGAGAATCAGAAGAGCCAGCCTCTTACACGGTCTTCATAAGTTTGGTGGAGTGTTTCATGAGAACCATAATTACAGCATCAGAACTGGCATTCCAGTTCCATTCGCATTACAGTTTTCTGTGATAGCCAACAAGAACAAGCTGCATTAAATATGAACCTGCTTAAAAGATTTATTGCATTGAACAAAAAACCTAAAAACAAAGATATTGCTTTCTGTTTATCCGCTATATTTCTAAAGCAGTTCTTTTCGACTCAGTAGTATTATGAACAATGTTTAGAAGTAGAATTGTCAGATATTAGCTTTATTTTAGTAGCATGTTATGCTTTTGTAAACTAACTTACAAATGTTTATAAACAAAATTAAGAAGTTCTATTCCTTACCAGCTTTTGTGTCCTTTCTGCGTGATCAGTTTTCAGTTCTGTTATTTTAGAACTGAAAGCTTCCTAAATGTAGGAAGAAAATATTTTTTTGCAACAAGTCATATTTTCATGTTCTGCAAATGTAGTTATTTTTCTAAAACAATGCACAATTTAAAAATATTTCTAATCCCAAATGACAATAAAAACATTTAAACATTGCAAACCAAAGCTGAACTTTCACCACCGAAATAGATCATGTCAATTTGTTCATTTACACCCATCCCTCAAGTATTTAATCTATTTACCTTCACTCTACAAACTTCTAATAGTAGAAAGGTAAAAAAGTCATATTTACCAAAAACCATAGACTTTTAAATACGGGAAGTATTTGAGCCTATAGTCTCAGATAGCATGGGAAGTGCACAATGTAGCACAGCCCCAAGAATCCTCACAGTTAGAGGCTCGGAATAGTCTATCCTCCAAGGTTACCATTCAGTAATCAGTCCAAATTGCTGATGGCCCTTCCTAATTTGTACTATTACAGTTCCCCACCCTAACACTGTATACCTATATATTCTACCCAAGAAGTCAGATGGGGGATTAGACTTTTTCCTGTTTGGTTTTCCCTTTGACCACACAACCTCCATCTTCACTGGCAATGGAAAACACTAGAGCGTCACGTAACAGAGTGAGCTTAACGGTGGTCTCTTTACTCTGGTCCGCAGCTCATACTCCTAGCACTCCACTGGGAACTTGCGTCCTGTGCTAGGATTACCAATTTCTCAGGAAAATCTCCAGTCCAAGGTCAAATTGCCAAATATGAAAAGACTGCTTTGCGACTGACCGCCTCCTGCGCTCCGTGACAGGACTGGCTCTGGAGGTCAGCGAGGGCAGCAGCCAGCTCTTCATACTGAGCCTGCTGTTCAGGTGGAATTGTCCTGGAAGGGTCAGAGGACCAGCAGTGAGGCTGCATACAAACTAAGTCACTGCCTGTATAAACCGCTACAGCAGAAGGAATGCCCACACATACATGAGCTCCTGAACTTTCTTTTCTGCTTTGTTTATGTTTTGAAGGAGGCTCTGTAGCTTCTCCACGTCAGATTTCTGAAAAATAATATCATGACAGGTTGCTTTTTGGTACATACAGCATGCGACAAATAGCACAGAGCCAACAGTAACACACTTCATCTTTTATGGGTCTACTCTTATGTGTGCAAGAAACAAGGTATGCAAAACTGACCACCGAGCAGATTGTAGCACCACAATGAAAATCTGGTCATATTTTAGCAATGACAAGATTATATAACTGGTAAGACTATGTTCTTCCACATGAACTGTAAGGAAGAAAATGTGTTTTGTTCTCTTCCTGACGTAAAGTCAGGAAATTAATGATTTTAAAAAAGATCTCCATTTATTGTCAGGTGGACGATCGCTTTGCATTTTGCGTACCTCTTTTCTAAAAAAAAAAACGTACTAAAATTATTTAGGCTTGATTATTGAATTAAAATCACTATCGACTATCACAAGCCGATTGAATTATAGCAGTGCTTCACCAGCACATTTAGGCTTAAGACTCCACTCTTCAAATTGAGACCTTAGTTAGGACCAAAAATTGAAGAAGTCACCATTACATTTGAATAACTATATTAAAATCTAAAGAGTTATCATCTCATACAAATAATTCAGTACTCTTTTGAACCAGAACCCAGTACATTTTTTCCGCACCAGTATTATAAGTTAACAGTTTTTAGTCCCACTCACATAGGTCTGCTGGGTCTCTGCAAGCATTCCTTGACATAGGTTTCGAAAGTGAAGAAAGTTCATAATCCCACTCAGAATACAGATGGTTCGTTTTACTTCTGCAAAATCAGGTTTAATATGAGAATGGTCATCCTCTGACAGGTAGGACATTTCCTGACATTTCTCAGCCCTGTGTTGATGGGCCTGCTAGGCAGATGCTTTAAAAAAAGCAGGGCTGCTATGGAACAGTACGTTAACAGTTAAAGACTGCGTACGCCCCTCTGTACTAAGCTTCTAACTTTTAATAGTTATTTGGTATCTGGTTTTTATCAAGCTCCTGTCATGCTTCAAAACATATACAGCACTTGGGCGTCTTTTAAAACAGGTTGCATACCAGAGAATGTATCGGTTTACATGATAAAGTCATAAAACAGCGATATCAACCACTGAAGTGTAGGATCAACCTACACTACAAGCCTCAGTACACAGCAGATCACATGGATGAGCAAGAAATTGATTTACTTGCTTGATTCACTAACTGAATTAAGGGGAAACATTATGGAGGGTGGATTGTGCAAGTAAAACACAGAATAAGCCCATACACAGGGGTTAACACCTACACTCTTTCCAACTGACATGGACTGACTCATGACCAAGTAGATAGGACTTCACTTTAACATCCCATTTGAAGTATGACACCTTGTATGACAGTGTCCCTGGTCTTAGAACCAGGGCACTTGTCTCAGACATTTGGGTCCTAGGGGAATAGTGTAACGTACTGGTCCACCAACACCACTTACAGCAACACTCTGGTTTTCCTTGGAAGTCTCCAGGCACAGTACTAACCAGGTCCAGTCTTGCTTAGCTTTGAGATCTCATAAGATCAAGCTGCAAGGTGGTGACCCTGCTGCAGATTAGAAAACTAATACCGATCTTCAGCTCATAGAAACATACATGACTGTCAGCACAAAGAATGATGTGTGGTAATATATACCTGTTCTTGAAAAGGCAATTCCTTCAATTGAGGACAAACTTGTAAAACACTCAAGGTGTAGAGATGTTGGACAGTTTAGTCAGCTAGCCTCATCTCCAAACTGACTTTTAACACCAGTCTATGTCATAATAATGTTAGGGAACACCTGTTGCTGTGTCAATACGTTATAACTATTCAACAAACATTGTAAAGGTTGAATAACCTCAAATGTCATACATGACTTGCAATCAAACCTTTAGTTACACACATGAAAGGCACTTATTGATTGTTCTTTAAGTCAGACAGAACATTGTGAGATGGAAATAAACTGTAATAAGCTCTCAAACTCATGTAAAGGGAATTTGACACTTACCTGTTCTTTTCAATTACAGCTAAATTTAGCACAACTGTAGGCACAAAGAGAAATCTCTTCAAATTTGTCACTTACTTGGACTGATAATGTCATTCAGCTGGAAGTCATAGATGTGGCACATTGGCAAAAACTGACACCTGGAGTTATGAAATGGAGTGTTAACAAGCTTAATCAAGAGTTACCAATACAAGGAAAGCGCCAATGCCACAAAGCCTGTTTATGAACTCGAAGATAAAAACAGAATATTAACTGAAGATCCCAAATACTCATTCCATTCATCCAGTTAACATTAATCTCTTAAAATATAACACAATTTAGAAAACAGAAATGTAAAAAAAACACTTTTATTTGATGCAATAACAACTGTTTTCATATGTACACAATCACACAGCATTTTAAAAATGTAGCGTTACTGAACACTTACATGCAAACATATACGCTGAAAATAGGCGTCACACCCTCCAGTATTGCAGAGTACTCCGTGTTTTCATTCACCGGGGTCTGTACCAGAAACAGAAAAAAATAACAATAAAAACAGTTTCCGCGTTTCAAAATGAGAACAAAACAAGTAGAAATTGTGAAAATAAATACTTTTACAACTATACACATTTTTCGTCTCAAATAAGACGATTCCATCAGTTAATGGTGGTGAAAATACTACTTACCATGCCGTGGAATTCAGGTCGAAAGCCGAACACCTGATGCAGAATTTTCATGTAGAGTCTCTGAATGATTTCTGGCTGGATACAAAAAATACACAGATGACAATGCAGCTAAAATTACCAATGTTTCCGTCACTCACAAGGCACAGAAATTTGTAACCCCGTTACCTTCTACATTAGACTGAACATTAATGAAACCTAAAATGGTGAACAACCTTTTTTATTTGTACTGTACATCGCAGAAACAAATATTAACCCAGTTATTACCATACAAACTTTGCTAGGGAGTAATACATAAAAAAACACTTCAAATTTGGGAAATCTAAGTAAGCTTTGTACATACCTTTGGGATCGGTGTAATATCATTTTTGGTAATGTTTTCATCTAAAACGTTGTTGCGGAGAAACTGCACAATTGAATCAACTTTATATAAGGGGAAGGTATTCTCATCCATTTTCTGCGCGAATACAAACACAAAAACAGAATCTGTCTGGAAGAAAAAAACTATATTCTGACTATTGGAGCTGTGTTTCTAAGTATACGAAATTTGCAAAAACACAATTAAGCGCAACTTAACATAACAAAGCAGCGTGCTCACAAAATCCGCAAATAACACTCAGTGGGTTTCCACGTTTTCGTTTAACGAATTGCGATGTGCTTCAACTTTACGATGTACTGTGAATACCTGCAAGTAGCCTTTCGCTTAAACACTTGAAAACTTCGCTGTCCGCTTGGGAACCCAGTCGTTGGCATTTCATTGGCTTTTCTGTTTTATAGAGGGATATGCAGCGTATAACTGCCCCCTGCCGTATTGGAGTAAAAAGTCTCATTTAATTTTGTAAATGAACCCGTAATCCTTGCCAACATCGGAAATCTTTGTCCATGTGAAACATCATCGTGTCCTTTTGTTGTAATCGAATTTGCATTAACCCTTCTCTAACGTATTGTAATGTTCTACTCATTATTGTATAACACACTCCCGTCAAAAGTAGTTCTGAGTTTCCCGGTTAGTGCAATGATTTGTTCAAGTCACAGTGCAGTAACCTAAATATGCTTTGAGTAAACTTATTCCTTCCACATTCCCCTGATTATCTTAACACCTTTCTCAATCTTACAAAAGTCCTGCACTAAAAGCTTACTTGCAGTACTAAAGGCAGTAACTACTCTTCCTCCCACTTGAGCCCTAGACTGCTTTAATCAAACATGAACACTTCCTAAACAAGTTAGATGGACGATCTTTGCTTTACAGACCTGCAATGCAGTATTTTACACGTTATATGCAAGCCAAAAAGCAGAAAAGAGTTTGGTTTACTATTAGTTCCCAATAAGTACACATGCAGATAAATTCACCTTGCTCTCTCAGCCCATTAGATCAAGGTTAGGCCTAATGAGTAGCTCTATCATCTAGGCTGCTGCTGTAAGTGGTGATGGACCAGCAGTTCCAAACTAGTGCCCCAGTACAGTCATCAGTGACACTATGCTATACAAGCTGCTTTCTTTGGATGAGACATTAAGCTGGGTTTTTGAATAATTAGTCATTAAATATCCTTCTTTAGAGCACTGATGTTAATGACACTAAATCTCTCTCTGAGCTTGCACAAGCTGGTCTGACTTGTTCCTCCGTAATTCATCCAGTAATTTCTCACTTTTCTGCCTGATCTGCTGTGTTACGGGGCTGCATTTCAGTGGTGGATGGGCCTGCGATATGTAAATATGGTTTGTAATCCTGTGCGATTTGGGGAAAAGATCTATATTAAATGTTAATAATTATTAGATGTTGTTAATGCAATTTTTAATTACATGAAAGAAGCCTTGCATCCTAAATTGCAATGTTCTCTCACAGAGGCCACATTATAAGCATTCGTGTTTGTTGTATTTTCACCCGTCTAGGCTTGTATTTTTGTAAGAAATATAGTTGTAAGAAATAAAGTACCTTCAGTGACATAAACAAGCCTAAAATCATTGTACAGCCAATTCTCAAGATAAGTACCACAATTCAGTACCATAAGTACCATTCTCAAGATCGATACCGCTATTGCTCAGAACTGTCAGATTGTAGCTTGTATAAATAATGTTTTCCAACATTCGCCTCACACATCTGTTTCTGTGTGCTGGAGCTCCCCACACTGGATTCTCCTGGCATCCCGTTCCTGAAAAAGGCTGTTCTGACTCAAAGTTAAAAGAAGTCATTTCTAAATTTTACATTTTGATTCTTCTCAAATATTTCCCCCAGCTTTCTTCCTTGTTTGCTCAGAGCCCAAAATTATTAACTTTGAAGGCATTAGTGTTGAAAATGAAGTTTGTTTTAAATTTGTTTAAAGAGATGAGTCATCTTGGGGAAAGGCTCATCTGTAACCTGAAAATCAGGTGGGGCCTCCTAAAAAAACACAAATGAAAAAATGACACTTGAGCCAGGAGTTCAGTTTTCATGTAACGATATATTTATCTACAGATAGATACCAGCCATTTTTCAAGACAATAGCTTTTACAGACACAGAGAAACTGAATTGTAAATGTCAGCAGACAAGAGTCTTTACAAGTTAAGCTACTTATTTTCAAAGTAAAAAACAGAAACATTATTTGCAAATACCTTTTCATTTTCTTAAAAGTCTCATATTGAAATGGAATGGAAACAAAGTCTTGAGTTCCTTAAACCCATGCACTGAAAAAGATCACAAGGATCTTATAAAAGCCCTCTGATAAAGGTCAAGGTCTGATAAAGGTTTAATTTTTACTGTAATTAAAACTAATAACTATTTCTGGTCCAAACATTTCCAACGTTAAGCAAAAACTAAAATATGCTAAAATAAAAAATAAAAAAATACCTCTGATGACCAGAAGCATTTATAACTTTACTGTACAGCTTAGATACAAAGCTTTTTAAGGATAACATTTTTAAAAACATGCTTTCATTTTCTCCATTTCTCCCTTTTTCTCTGCAACGTGGTCCATGATGCGGGTGTGTAAATTATCCAGCGCTGTCACCAGATGGTCATACATGGCCTGCAAAGACAGTTTAAACAAGAATAAACTGTAGAAAACTCTGAACTCCGTAGACAAGACATAAAGAATGTTAGTTTACCTTACTACAGAATCTGAATAATGAGTATGCATGACAACCTGCCTGCCTGAGAGTTAAGCTTTTTCTATAACAGATTCTGTTAATCACTGTTTTATTTTATTGCCTTTTATTAAAGCAAATAAAATTAAAATATAGGCTTGGAATGTAGCTCCCATAGAATGTTAATCTCTAAATACAAATGTGCACTAAAGAGATTCAGAGGTAAATCGTACCTGTGCTTTGTCAGTCTCTTGCTCACAACATCCCTTCAAATAGTCCATTTTAGCCTTTAATTGTTGAGTCTCGCTGTTTATTTCTTGGATCTTGTTCAGAATATCCTCTCTGTTCTGATGGACTTGGTTGTATTCACTGAAAGATGAAAATGTATCACAAAGACAACCAATTTTAGGGAACAAATTGCTAAGCATGTCTTCACATTTAAAGAGAAGAAAATGCTGTAACATACATTACAAGATCTGAAAAACTCAGCCATTTAACTGAGATAAAAAAAACAAAAGAAACAAATCT